GGGTACTGTGCCATGGTTTGGAGTGCACTTAAGCAGTCCAATTCTTCATAAACCCCTGTATCCATTTTTTTTAAAAAATATTATGCATATGGCCTCGGAATATATGCATATCTCAATATATTTTTGGTCTTTCCGAATTAAATCCTTTTCTGATCTGCTCCACATGATTGGCTGACTCACGTGTTTGTTATGTTCCTTATTCACTATATCCAAACAAGCATGTAACCACAAAAGAAAGTGATGCACAATGTCGATCTTTTGATAGGAGTGAGCCAAATCCCCACTTTTTGAGAAAAGAAAACAAAAAAAAAAGATGAAGAGGAAGTATATTGTTGTTGCAAGGGTTCAAGTTAAGGAGAGTTTTTCTAGTTGTTCTTCTTTTTCTTCTGCTTCTAATATTCTTAACCAGAGAACTGTTTTTGTCTCTACTTGCTTCCAGAATATTCTTCCAGTTTGGATGCCAAATATGTAAGAGAGTCTACTAGACAAAAAGCTTAACCCAAGGCAAGAACCACTCAAGTTTTGCCTGCTCCTCGGTGTATCACATACTTGAGCTTTGTTGACAGCAAGTTTACTTAATGTAAAATTAAGAATATTATCCACTTTGGAGCCAGAGTCTTCAATCTACTTTTGGTGCCAACTTGGTCCAGGTGATCATTAGAAAGAGTTGTAGAATTTTGTATGATTTTATAGATTATTAAAAATAATTTATTTTAATTTAAGAAATATAATAATTTAATAAAATAAATAAGTTGTCAATCTTTCAAGTAGTAGCGTATTATTTAAAACTCTATTAATAATAAAAATTTGAATATTTACTTATATAATACTTATATTATAGAAAATGTTTCTAATAATTGAATTTGGTAGATTATAAATATCTATGTAATTAGTTATACAAAAGAATGCAAACTAGTATTAGAAAGTACAAACTCTAAATAAGTTCTTGTAGCTATATAAATCTGTTAAAATTAGAAACAAAAAGTTTATTTAAGATCTAAACAAAGAAATAGTATAAATCTTTAATAATATTACTATAAAGATTAGTTTTATAAAATATATACTAATATAAAGAAGTTGAACAGATAAGAACTTTTAAATAAGAGATATTACCAACTAGATTATTAGAATAAACCAAAAGAAAAGAATATTAGGCTGATTTAATATACTAATGAACTAGTTGTAATTTTATAAGCCTATCTGAATTAGAAGTCTAATAACAATACAGATTATATTAAAGTAATTTAGATATGCTGTAAAGTAGTACTAAGATTCAAGTAAACTTTGTAAGTGCATAATAGTTTAATAATTAGCTTTGATTACAAGTATTGGTTTTGTTATAACAATATTAAATTAGTTGTAAAAATGAATATATAAAATTTCAGAAGTTTTACTTTAAAGATAAAATAGTCTTAAGATTAAAATAATAATCTAAATATAATTTAGTAATATTAATACAGATTGCAAATTTAGAAAGTTTAAAATGAAACATTCATGCAGAAGTTTTAGATACAGCAATTAATAAAAAAACTTTTAAACAAACTCTTTAAATAAATAATATAAAAAAGTTATATATATAGCCAATTGTATACTTTTCTTATAATAGTTTATAAAATCATATTATTAAAAAGTTATTAATAAAAGTTAAAAAACTAAACAACTCATTTTTTAAAAAAAAATTATTTTAATTTAGTTAGCTAAGCTAATTTTTAAATATTAAATATAAATAATAATTAATTATAAATATTACTTTAAAGTTATTTGTTTTTTTTGCTTTTTTTTAACCTTAAGCAGTTATACTAGTACTTTATTAAGATTTTTGAAACTATTTACATTTATAATTACATAGAATTTTCTAATACTCAAATCTAGCATTACTTGGCCACCTTATTGGTACTTAAGTGCAACCTGCCATACTATTGCAATTAAAGATAGATTACTTATCTAACTACTTAAAACTATATCAGAAAGGTCTTTCCTCTTTCGTGACAAGCATATCAATTATTTTTCATGCTTCTTTTTTTCATTCAGTTCATTTTTTCTACTTTCTTTTCTTTTTCTTTTTCTTCTTCTTTTGCCATCTTATTCTTTTTTGTTCTTTTTTTTAATCTTTTTTTAGCTTGAGCACCTTTTTTCATTTTGCTTGTTATATTAATCTTTTTTTCCTATTCTTATACTTTTTCATATTAAACTTTTTATACTTGGTCATAGAATATATTCTATACTGTTTTTGTTATTATATATATGCATTTCTGTATCATCTGTCTATCTAGAATCTGACTGATCCTTTTTTTAATCTTATTTGTTGTTAGCTCTTTTATTAAAGCTATTCTATTAATAATTTTCTTTGCTTTTGTTTTTTCAAAAAGTGCCTCATATAGTACTAGATGTAAAATTCTAACTCTTTTATTTTCTTTGAGACTGTTCCAAGCTGCTGCTATTGTCATCTTTTGAATCCTCTTTCACAAGCTTTTTTGTCTGCTGCAGCTTGCCAGATATGCTTAAGTTTCCTTTTCATCTTTTTGGCATACTTGGCAGTTCATCATTGTATATATTTCTGGTCTTCTTCTATTTAATCTTTCTAGTATTGATAGGCTATTCATTATGCATTTAATCATTATTGCTCTTCTTGTACTAAGTTTCCTTGTTGTACAATATACACACTTTGTTCTATTCATCTTTTTTCAAAAACTTGAGTAGTTATATTAAGTGTTCTCAGTTTCTGGCTCTAGTACTCAAATTGGGTTTGTTTTTCAACTAACTTTGATTTTGACAATTGTGACTATTTTGTAATTTAAAGTTATTTAATTTTTTATAAATTTTATTATTTATTATTTTATTTTTTATTTTTTATTTGTATTAAAGTTTTGTTTTTGGTAATTTTTATTTTAATATTATTAAAAACAAATATCTTTAAAGACTTTTTTATATTAATAACTATAACTAAAACATATGCATTTTTGGTATTTATTTTAAGTAATTTGAATCTTCTTTAGTATAAGTAGACATATATAAATTATTACAAAATTATAATATATAAAACCCATCTAATTTAGTAGTAATTTGAACTGTTTAATTAATAACTAGGTTAATCATTGAACCACTCAGGTTACAGTTAAGCCAACTAAAAATCATTATCTTAATAGTTAATCAGATATATTATGATTAACTAATTATACTACAATTAACTATTAAACAAACTATATACAAATACTGTATATACATAACAGATCTTACTAGTATTGCATAATTACAATTTTATTTTATTAAACTTTCTTTTTGATAATTATTATGCTTTTAAATAATACTCTATATAATAGTTTTGTAGTATGCTTGGCTTTAAAAACTTAGATATCGATCATAAACTTAATTCACAATACTACGTAAACATGTAATACCTCATGATAGTTCAGATAATAGGTGTATATTGGTCAGATCAGTAATTTTATACATAAATAGTCTATTATAGTTTATACATTATAGATTAGTAGTTTATTGTTGTACATTACTAATTTGAGTCTAATACATTATAAATTAGTATATATATAAGTAAAAGCTTAGTAATAAAAACTAATCTTTCTCTTTAGTAACAAAATAAGTCATAACTAATTACTAGATGTTAATCATTGCTTGTGCTTCACCTTGTGATTATTTGTGTAATGCTAACATTATGCTGTTATAAGTGCATTGTGAGATTAAATATAAGCAAATCCTTAAAACTTTTCTATGAACTGGCTAGATTAATAATAGAAACCTATCTACTATTGATCTATTTGACAATAATTAAAATTATTACTTTATATTGTTTAAACATCCTTGCAGTTCTAATTCAAATACCTGTTTGCTAAACACTAAATAGCTTAATGTATGATTTTCTGAATTTAGTAAAAACTATTGCATTTTAATTACATTGCACTTAAAATTAGATAGATAGGATAATGATAAAACTAACTATTTCTACAAGCAACAGCCTCTAGTTTTATTGTAATATTATTTTAGTTTAAAATCTTAATATACAATATTAAAAAAAAAAAGATGTCAAATTTTAATAAGATATAAAATTGACTATGTAGTTAATTTTAGTTAATTAAAGAATTATCAACTACTAACACTAGATCATATGTAATTATAATATCAACTAGAAATATTTGCAATATTATAATAACTATATGGAATATGCATATAAGCTAGACTGTTATATCTTAAAAATTTTTGAACTTATTGAAAATAACTATATTATTTTTAAGATATATAAAAGGTTTAATGATAATAATACAAATAGCATGTTTCAGTAAGACTAATTTAATAAATTAGACAATAATCTAATAGGTTTTAAGTGCATTTAATAATTTGATACATATCATTAAATTCTTGTAGAATAGTGCAGAATAGAGTTCTTAACACTCATCCTAATTATTCATCAAACCAATAACAATAAATTAAATGAGGGGTTTAGATTAAATTTAATAATCTATTCAGGATTTAATGAAATAAATTAGCCTATATATTATATATACAAAAAAGCTAAATCAACAAATTGAAAGTTGTCATGAACTGTAATTAAAAGATCATAACCTAACATTGTACAATCGATGCATGTAATTGTGATCAATCCAAATTGGATGAAACATGTATAATTATCCACCTCCAATAGTGCAGCAATTAAGCAATCAGCAAAATATGACCAAATCAGAAAGGAGATATGTTCATGATGTTTATGTTTCAAAATGGTAAAATCAAAATAATAACATAACAGGTTTGTGTTGAAAAAAGAAGAAAAAGTATTATTAGTAAGGATGATAATATCTAAAAATAAACAAGTAGAAGAAAAACTTATTTATTGCAACTTGAAACAATCAATATGAAGGAAATTGTAAGAAAAAACATAGTCAGACCTAAAAGTAGCATAATTAGAAGAAAAAAAAGTATAAAAGTAGTAATAAAAATAATTTAATAAAATACTTTATACTTAATATCTCTACCAATATAAACTCATAAAATCATCTAGTTTCACAATAATAATCATACTTTCAATTTACTTATAAGCATTTTAAAATTTTAATAAACATTAAAAAATTTTATAATTTAAATAAAGGAGCTTTTAAGTGAAACAGACTCAAACATTACTAATAATAGCTTTGAAGATGAAGTAGGTTTTGTAGATCAAATGGATTATATAAATGAAATAGATAATATAAATGAAATAGATTATGACAATGTGGTAAATCTTGAAAACAGTGATCTGAAACGACAAAAGATAGAAGAGGAACAAGTTACCAATACTGCACAAATAAAAAAAGCAACTTCTAAAAAACAAAAGCATAATGTAAACAGTTCTTAGTCAGAAACAGAAGCATCTACTTCTACTTTTACTAAAAAATCTAGTATTGTATGATATAACTTACTCAAGAAAAAAAAAAGTAGATCACATATTAGAAGTTTTGTTTGAAAATATTTTAATAAACTATTATCTCCATCAGATAAAGCTGTATGTGAAAAATGTAAAGCAATAAAAAATGGAAAAAAGTGTAGATATACAATTAATACAGAAGGTTCTACAAGCAATATAAAACATCATCTTTTGAATATACATGGTTTAACAGAAAGTGGACTAATATCCTATAATTCAAGCCAAATGAGCATTAATAATTCTTTTCAATTAGCATCATGTAACAATATTAAAAGAAAAGCAACTATTGATTAAGCTTTAACTAAATTTATTATCTTAGATAACCAACCTCTTTCTATAATTTCTAGTAAATTATTTATTAATTTTATTAAAGCACTTGATCCTTATTATAAACTTTCCTCTAATATAAAATTAAAAGAATTTATTTATCAAAGGTTTAATTAGATACAAAATTATATTAAATTATTGTTGTCTAATAGTGCCACTTTTGTTAATCTAACTGCTAATATGTAGACTACTTGAAATAATATTAGTTATCTTAAGGTTACATGTTTATAGATTACTTCAAATTTTGAAATAAAAGAAGTTACACTTAGTATAAGAGAACTCAATTATCTATATATAGGACTATCAATTGCAACTACTTTACAAAAAATAATTAAAGAATGAAGTTTAACTAATAAGGTTTTTATTATAACAACTACTAATAATAGTGCTAATATAGTTAAAATGATTAGATATATGAATAGTATAAATCATTTACCTTGTATATCACATACTTTGCAGTTAGTTGTTAGAAAAGGTCTTAACTCTATTAAAGTTTTAATTGCATAGACTAAAAGGCCAATTCATTTTTTTATAAGCCCAAAACAATCAGAATGTCTTGTTGAAGCACAACATTATCTGAAAGTTCAAACAAATGATATATTAATTAATAATTATAAATACTTGCACACAATTGCTAATATATTCACTAAATGAAACTCTTCCTACCTGGCTTGGATATGTCTTCTGAAGTTTAAACATGTTATTGCTATTATAATAATTAATTTAGCTGATAAATTAGATCAACAAAGCAAAAAAGATTACTAATGATTAAAATATATTGTTTTAACTAAAGATGAATAGCTTTTATTAGCTGATCTTATTAAAGTTCTTAAACAATTTTATAATATAACAAATTTATTAGGTAGTAGTCAGTATTCTACAATATCTTTTATGTATATAGTGATTATAACAATTAAGCAAAATTTAAATACAAATATCATTGAAGATGAAGTAGTAGACTATATATATTTTATTTGATGCTTTTCAGATTTACAAGACAATGAAGAATATTATGATCAAGTTATAGCAGAAAAGAAAACAAATAAAAAAAATTTAAAAATTAATAATCCTTAAGTTACTGATAGGGTTCTTAATAAAGTTAAAATTGCTCTTTTAAAAAATTTGAATTATTATTGGAAACTATTTATAAATAAGGTCTTATTAGCAACAATATTAGACTTATGCAATAAGAGAATAAATAAAGCAACAGCTATTGACTGGCTTAAAGCTAAAAGTTTTTTAAATATAGAATATGAGCTTTTAAAATCTGATGAATTGGAAGCTAATATACAAAATAATTTAGAAGAAAATAAGAAAAATAAACTACTGCATGCAATGTATAGCTTTAATCTACAAAAAGTAGAGACAAATGAAGTCGAAAGCTATTTGGTGCTTAATTCAATTCCAAGCAACCAAAATTCCTTAGTTTGGTAGGAAGAACAAAAGAATTCATTTTCAGTTCTTAGTCAATTAGCTAAAAAATACCTTAAAATTGCCACAACCTTTACTTCTAGTGAATGGTTGTTTTTGGATACTAGAAATATAATGACTAATAAAAGAACTTGCTTGAGTTCTAAGCTTTTTGAAACAATAGTTTTTTTAAAAAGAAATATTAAAGTTGCAAATTCTTTGTTTCCTAACAATAATTAGATTGGTTAATATTATTCTTATATGTATTTTACAAATATATACAAGGGTTCTTATTATAGATTTATTTTACTATAAAAAGTAAATACGAGCAAAGAGTTAGAAAGAATTGTATGCAAAAAATTTTAATCATGTTAAATATAATTGCAAGAAGCTTAAAAAAAAATTATATTCAAGAAGGAATTTTATTAGTATTAAAAGAAATTATATGAAAGAGACTTTTAATTAGCATTAGAGAGAATTTTTTATTATATATTAAGATATATACTATTATATCATATGCTATTTATTAATTCCTACTAATTTGAAATCATTAATAAATAATGTATATATATTGTTTTGGAATTAGCATAAGTTTTACCAGTATATAAAATTTTAAGTGATGTAATTTGTTTTTTTTTTTTTTTTTTTTTTAAACCTTAAGCAGTTACGCTAGTACTTTATTAAGATTCTTAAAACTATATACATATACAATTACATAGAATTTCCCAATGTCTAAGTTTAGCATCACTCAGCCACCTTTATGGTACTTAAGTGCAACCTGCCGCACTATCTCAGTTAGAGATAGACTGCTTGTCTAACTACTTAAAGCCATACCAGAAGGGCCT